AGTTCCTTGTCTTTTTGTAGGCTTCATCTCCAAAATGCATATTGTCCCCATTTGAAATAAGGATTATTTGTTTTGGGGGTATTTTTTCTCCATAGCTCAGGATCAATAAGAGAAGACTGTTGTATGGTCCCATCTATCAGGGAATACTTTCATCCCATCACGTTAGTTTAACAAAACCATAAGCGGGGTAAGACTCCTTAATAGCCCTGAGATTCCATGCACAAACTTATCCTTCTTTAAAAAGGTATGGAGGCCACACAGAATAAATAGAGCCAGACTGTCTGATCTGGGCCATGCCTCCATTCGAAAGAACAAAGCCTTAATGAACTATAGGTCACTTGGTTTCGGCACTAGCCTGCAGAAGCCCACAGTGCCAGGGGGAACAAAAGAAAAATTAAATATTGCAACACTGGATATTTTTACCACACAGTTTGTATACTGTAGCCATTTCTATTACTGTTGGAATACAAGACTATACCCTTTTGTGTGAGAGAACAAGACTACAACAGAGAAAGATTAAAATAAAGCTTTACCAGCTCCTAAAATAATCCCCATGTAGGCAGAAGCGAGGAGACTACACCAACGAGAAGCCAGGAATAGAGTTTGCCTGGGTGCTTGCCACTCCAGTTCTCTTCAAGATCTGTTTTACTCTGAAGGAACACCCAAGACACCATGCCTCCCACACTAGCTCCCCAAAATAAACACATTTGGGTTCAGAGTAAGACCCTAACCTTACCAGACACTCTTCCTCTGAAGGCTAATAATAAATTCATGAAGAATAATCCAAATGTAAGTTTTGAAAACAGTAAAAACACAATCAGTAACACAAGGTATATTGTATTACAATCAGGAAAAGATCCCTCAAAAAAGGGTCCAGGGACTGATTCATACCCATCCCCCACCCCCTGAACCTGGGTGTCAGAGAGGAGGCCTTGGTAATCTATGTGACCTTAGATAGTAGATCAGTATTTATTCCTGGCATACAAATGGACTTTGGGAGCCCATTCCTCATGGAGGGATGCCCTCTCAGCCTGGACACATGGGGGAGGACCTAGGCCCTGCCCGGGATGATATGACAGACTCTGAAAATCCCTCATGGAAGGCCTTACTCCCTCATGGAAGGAGCAGAGAGGGGATGGAGTGAAGGTTGGGGAAATTGGGGAGCCGGGGGAGGAGGCAAAGGAGAGGGAACTGGGAGTAACATGTGTAAAAAGTTAAATAAAAAGTTATTATAAAATAAAAAGGGTCCAAATTATTTGTATTATGAGCAGGAAAAGATAAAAGCAAAACAAAAATCTGCAAACCAGTCCAAGCACAAGAAAGTCCAGCAAGAATTCCTCCTGGTGGAGCAAGCAATGTCCTCATCACAGTCCCTCAGAACTGAAGCAGAAATCAGGGAGGAGTGCTGCTTACTGGCTTGCTCAGCTAACTTTCTTACATAGTCCAACACACTTGCTCCAGGATAGCACTGCTGACGACAGTGGACTGAATGATCTTCCATCAATTACCAATCAGGAAAATGCCAATGGAGATGCCGGCCATTTTGCTCAGACGACATTTCTGTGCAACAGTAAGTGAAGGTAGGTGCTACAACAAGGATGTCTGTTCCACTATGTTCATAGCAGCATTATTTGTAATAGCCAGAACTTGGAAGCAACCTAGATGCCCCTCAACCGAAGAGTGGATAGAGAAAATGTGGTATATTTACACAATGGAGTACTATTCAGCAGAAAAAAACAATGGAATCCTGAGATTTGCAGGCAAATGGATGACACTAGAAGAAACCATCCTGAGTGAGGTAACCCAGTCACAAAAAAGAGAAACATGGCATGTACTCTCTCATATATGGATTTTAGACATAGATCTGGGGAGTGCCAGCCTACAATCCCATGGCCAGAGAATCTGGGAAACAGAAACTTCATCCAGTGGCTGATGGAAGAAGAGGCAGACTACCATGGCTAAGCACTGAGCTGAACTCAAGAAAACCAGAAACAGAGAGGGAGGACTGATGACCAAAGGGATTAAGACTGGGCTGGTTTAACCCCCAGAAACAGCTGACCTGACAAAGGTTAACTTTTGAATCCCAGGTATCAGCCTGGGAATCCAGCATGAGACTGATGAAGACCCCCTGAATGTGGGTGTCAGTGAGGAGGCCTAGGGAATCTATTGAGCCTTGGGCAGTAGATCAGCACTCATCCCGAGTATACACACGGACTTTGGACTCCCATCCAACAATGTGAGATGAACTCTCACCCTGAACTCTTGGGGGGAGGGTCTAGGCCCTGCCCTGGATGAAATGACAGACTATGGACTTCACCCTCCCTGGGGAAATGAGGGGATAATGGGGGGTTTGGGGGGATGGCACAGGAGGAGGGGAGGGAAAGGGAGAGGGACCTGGAACTGACTTGTGAAGCAACCTTGTTTCTAATCTAAATTTAAACTTAAAAATAAATTATAAAAAAATAAAAATAAAAAAAGAGAAGGTAGGTGCTCCTCTGAGTAGGCTATGACTACAAAGGTGCTGCAGGAAATCCAAGAGAAGAAAGGAGCAGCAGTGTATGAGTGAGTGAGAGTTAAACTTCCGAGTAATGTGACATAAGGTGTTTGCTGTGGGTTACATGGGTCGAATGCTCGTTCTTCATACAGTGTATATTCACCTTATAAAGGACAAAATTGTAGATACAGGACACTTAGAGAGCTTGCAAGGAAGAGGGTGGTAATACAAAACCAAAAGCAAAAATCAGAACAGAAGCCGGTGCACATGCCTCTGAGGGACTGGTTTGTAAAGAGTGGAGCTGCTGAAGAGCACAGGAGAATTTTGTTTCCTAAGCAATGATGCTGAGTATACACGGAAAGAGAAGGAAATTCAATCCTCAACCCATGCCACACAGAAAGCCTGAACCCAGTGCAGCATCCTGTCTCCTAGAAAATAACACTCGACGATTTTCCCATAGCCTTGAAACACACAGAAGATCTTCATACAAGCCTAAACTGTGCTAATCAAAAGAGGCAGGCAAATAAATGAGGCTACACAGCAAATGGGGACTTCTGTGTATCAGTTACCTCCTTTCAGAGAGTATAAAGGCAGTCAGAGTGAAAATACCTACACTTAGAAACAACCAAAGACTCATGTTCACAATGCATGTTTTGCAAGTACATAGTTATTTATATTATGAGAACATTTGATTAAGGAATATATTTGCATATTTAAACTCTAATAATAAAGGATGTAAAACAAAATCTTTAGTTTAGTAAGACTTTCACATAGACACTTCAGGCACAAAGACAAACCCTCAGATTTTAAGCCACTGGCCTCTTCCAGTGTCCAATTGCCTAGGCTTTCCCAATTAGGGGACAGAGGCATAAGGCACTGAGCAGGAATTTAACATATTTTCTCCCTACCTTTAATGTTACCCTAGACTCCTAGGAATTAAGTAGAATGAAGCCCCAGCTGCATCAGTCCTTGCCCAAGTCAAGGATGGGGAATTCTCCCCTTCTCCAATTTGGGCACTTATTTTTCCAGCATCCTTTTTGTTTACACTAAGTACATTGGTCCTTCTCTAGCCTCCCAGTCTCCTGGGGTGTCTCTGGCTTCCCCCTCTGGGATCACTTTTATCCATATCTCTGAATCCTTGGGTTACTCTTTTGTTCTGATTTTCTTCTATAGAAACCTTTAGAGCAATCTTCAGTAATTGAGACCTATTTATACCCTCAAAGCTTTCTAACTTTTAAAGATCCTTTCCAATATCTGTGGTCAGCTGCATAACAAAAGCAATATTGGTTGTTCACTGTTTTTCTCGCACATCTGGATCTATAGGGATGAACACCTGGTAAGCCTTGCAGATGTATCTAGAAACCCAGCAGGTGAATTTTTTCATGCTTTTGTATTGCCTCATTCACCATAGATTGGTGTTTTTATAGCAGCTACCTTCAATCCTCCTAAAAGGGCATGGCAACAATGTCCAGAGACTCCTTACTTTGGTTCATGTTGGGGTCCCAGTTAGGTCAGACAAAAATAAAAATCCACTTTGTCTGGGCTGCACTGACTATCAGAGATCCTCCGCCCAGCCCAAGGATACCTTTTCTACTTGCAGGCCAAATTCTTTCTGACTCCTAGGCCATGAAGAGGGTAACCAAGAGTTGTTGACAGTCATGTGATGTACATGTATGTCGTGTGCATTAGTCACTTTTGTCTTACAGTAGCAAAACACCAAATAGAGACTACTGTGAGGAATAAAGTTTAGCTCAAAATTTTTGAGTTCAAGGACTTAGCCCTGATACTGACTGCATCACAAGATGGCAGAATACCATGTTGAGAGCATGCTAAGAAGCCAGACAGTGAGTGATTGCATATTGAACCATAAGCACAGGAGACCTGGCCAGAGCCACAATCAGCCTTGTTAATCCACCCTGTCTCAAGAACTGCATTTCTACAACATTCTTTCAATAACCAAAGGATCTCCCACAAGGCTCCTCCTCCCTGTGAACCTATAGCCCTTCCCGGGACACCACCCTCTGTACCTTTTGGGAATACCTGCTACATTTTAAATCATAGCACAGTATAGTATTATTTAGATTTTAAAAGGAAAGAAATTCTGACACATGCTTCCACGTGGATGAATGTTGACATTACCCTGAATGTTATAAGCACTCACCAAACAAGCCAAGAAAACTCAAATATTGTAATTCTCTACTTACACAAGTTACCAAAAGCAGTTAAATTCATGGAAATAGAATACAGATTGACTGCTGCACTAGGGAGGGGAAGAGACGGGGAGTTCTTGAGTACTGATTTTCAATTATGTAACATTTCTAGAGATTGGCTATAGAACAACATGAATGTACTTAATGAATATCCAAATGTGCACTTGTGTTAGTTAAAATAGTATATTTGGTCTTAGGCATGCTTTGTCACAGATAATTAAAAATTAGAAACTAGCTGTGACAATTTCTATTTTATTGAATTATAAATCTAAGTGTATGTGGTTGATGTCATTTACCTGCTGAATGTGGTAGGAAGACTCTGACACTTGGTATCACTGTCCTGCCAGTACAAGTCCCTGGGCTATTTAACCCCATCCTGTCACTGATGGCTCTCTTCAGTCCACCTCTGCGTGCTCCAGACCAGGGCTGCACAGTACAAGTTTCTATGGTTACCTGTAATTGTGTGATCCCAAGTAAGTTGCTACTGGCTCTGGGTGTGGTACCTAAAGACTCAGAATATTGACAATGTGACTGAAGCCCTATATTTTTAATTTATATGCTACAAAGTGATTTTGTTATTTAATTTTAAACATGTGTCTAGCAATTGCCACACTAACGCTGCCAAGGTTTTGCTCCATTGTTCCTCCACTGTGCCACAACTCTTCTTAGAAAGATTTTGAAGCAAGGCCCTGCCTCCCACCCTGCCCTTCAACAGTTTGCCCTTCCTGTTGTTTTACAGTTATCACAATCATCAGAACCTGTACACCTTCTCTGCTGTCCCCACATAAAGAACTCCTCTGTGGTCTCTTTGTCATCTGTCTACTCTGCTGGCAAATATTTGTTCTTGTGAAGCAGCTGATAAGTGTGTTCCCCAGCTCCCACTTGTTATCAGAGGACAAAGAACTATGGGAGATCATTGGGAAAACACCAACCCAGACAGTTCAAGTAAATTGGGGGTGGAACTACAGTTAAGTATTATCTGCTGCTGCTGGGGTGCATCCACTTTATCTGGGGAAGTCATACCCTCAGAGAGAAATCTGACTGGGTTGTAAAATAAGTGCCATAGAGGAAGAAGAAAAAAACACGTTGAAAGCCAGGCACTGGGGGATGAGATGACTCTGGGTTTAATTCCATGGATGTAGTTCACCATCTATCATCTTGAACAAGCCTCAACTGCTCAGGCCCCGCCATATTTTGTATCCACAAAAGGAAGATAATAGCACACTTCAGATGATTAAGCCAGGCTTGTAACGATCAATCATGAAATGGCATCTGTTGAAAGTGGCTCACTGTGTCTCCACTTGTCAGTCAATTAACTTATCTTCATCTCTCCATCCATTGCATGGTAATAAAAATGAGATGGTTATAGCCCACCTGCATTTTAAGAAGTGTGCCCTCTGGGACCTTGGACCTTCAGTTTAGTTGGCAAAGTAAAGTGATGCAGTTGGAATTGAGTATGTAAGCTATTTGTTTGAATGTAAGAAAAAAACACTATGTTGTATTTGCTGTTTGCTTTTGTGTGAATGACCTGGAGTGGGATAAGAGTGGGATAGGTAGAATGAGGGGTAAGTAGTAAACTAGACCAACATAGGCTAACGGCAAGAGGAGAAAACACAACTCTGGCTCAGCCAAACATTGATTTTGAAGATTAGCATTATCTCCATGGGTACTCAAGCACTGATATAAACCTCTGTTTTGACACACCCAGAAATTAATCAGCAGTTCTATCTTTCTTCTCAGTGCTTTGTGCACTTTCTCTTTTAGGAAGAGAAAGAGAGGGAGAGAGAGAATACATCTGACCATACCCATTCATCTAGAGTTTTAATCAATTAGAACTGACTGAAATTGCTTTTATCATTTTTGGATTCAAAGAAGGAGTTACAGTATTGACCTCAAAGATAATATGCATTATGAGAAGACACCAAGAAAAGAGGTGGGAGAGTTATTGATATCTTTGCCTCATTTCACTAAAAGAAAAAAAATATACTAAGAGACTTAGGAAAAATTAACTCATTTACACATTCTCAGAGCAGTCTGGAGCTTTAATTTTGGACACATAGGGCTGTGTCTTCCTGTTACACTAAAATATCCAAATGTCACATTTGAAGCAAGGAGTGACCAGTCTTTCCATTATCATCTCAAGCAGATAGAGGAACAAGTTGTCATTTGAGATGGACTGTGGTAGACTCAGCTGATTCCCAGTATCTCTTATGCATCTTTTTCTCTTTGTTAGACAAACTCCCAGCTTTTAGCTAAGATTCAGTCCTCTCTCCTTTGGGCTTGACTGCGGGCGTAAGTGTAGATATTGGCTGCTGCATTTCAGGACCTCCTACTTCTGTTAACATGACACTTGGGTCCTGAGTTCTCACCTTTCTGTTATATTTCTTTCCTTTTTAATGGCTGAGTAATTTTTCCCTGTACCATCACAGCCTTCTAGCATAAGGCACCAGTAATAGCTCCTTTAGGGCTGGAGATATAGTCATTTGCTAAAGCTCTTGCTCAGTGTGCTAAGACCCTTGATTCAATCCATACTACTTCAAAAAGAAATTATGTAACAGCCTCTTCAGGTGACTACCTAAAGCAATTGCTACTTTATCACTTAGGTTATGCACTTGTTGCTGTAGACTAGACAGCTGCCTCTGAAGCTGCTCTTCACAGAATATTCTTTCTCTGTAGAGCACTGTGTGTGTGTGTGTGTGTGTGTGTAGGAGAAGGAAGAGGAAGAAATATACAATTGCGCCAATAAGAACACACAACTGAAGAAGTATTTTTGAGTCAACCAAAACCACCAGTTCAAGGAGAAACATCTGTCCAGAGTTAAATGGCACAGAAGACAGTGAGCTATGAGGTTCTTCATGAAAAGAAATAGTCAGAACAACGAAGCTGTGAGAAACCAAAATTACCAGAAGTGGAGGTATGAAATGGCCATAAGTCAAAGACTTTAACTCATCAATTAATAGGAAAAAAGAACATCAATTACAACTTATTTAGGAAAATCAATAAGCCATAACTTTACCTATAAAAGAATATTGACACAAAATTTCAAAAATCACCCTAGTCACAGAGTTCCAGACACAATTAGCTTTTCTCAAGCAAAGTCACTTGCCTTCACATTGTTGGTGGTTTCTATGTGGTAACTTCTACCTTCTCAGGGATTAATCACTGTCAATAGTCTAATCAAAGGAACAGCTCCATCCAGGCACAATAGTTCATCCTTGTGAATGGTTCATCCCTCTGAAGCTGGCACTCAGAAGATGGAAACATTGCAATCATGAGTTCAAGTTCAAGTCTATCTGGGGCCCCATGCTGAGACCCTCACTCAAGCAAGGGATCCTTCCTTAAGCAGTTAAACACCCCTGGACTCCATCACTTCATGGGAAGAATAGCATTAATCTCATTAGTTCATTTCAAACTTTTTTCCCAAAGCTGTTTGTCTTAAATTTAATTGTGCATACAGGTGCAGGCTTCTCGTAGAGACCAGGAGAAGATGGTGGTAAATCCTCTGGAGCTGGTGTTACAGTTGGAAGCCACCTGCTGTAGGTGCCGGAAACCAAACTTGCATTCTCTGCAAGAACTATATGTATTCTTAACCACAGAGCCATCTCTGTAGACCCATCTCAAAAGTCTAAACTTTTCATTTCAACACTGTTTTTTTTTCACCTTCCTCAGTTTTGTCTTACTCCTCCACAGTCACATTTCTTCTATTTATTTCCACATAATTGACTCATTTTTATCTCTCAGGACTTTTGGACATGCCATCACCCCACTCTGACATTGTCCTTCTTTTCCAATCGCTTTTCCCAGACCCATGCATCTCCTTGGTCCACTATACCCATTTCAAATTCTTCTTGCTCGAATAAAGTTTCCTGAGTCCTCAGGTGAGACACCGTCTCCTTGTTTTTGTTCTGTTTTATAGTTTTTCCACACCCCTGCTGCTGCACGTGTACTCCATGTCAATTCACTGAGGACATGGAATAGTTTGGTGTTTGATGTCTAAGCTTGTAGAAAAGAAAAAAAGAAAGTCAAATGAGTGGACTTCACTGAACCTTGGCCTGCTCATGCATGAGGCCTGTGACCTCTCCCCTGCATGCTCTCAAAATTAGGGAATCAAATAAGACCTCCAGAGAGTGACAGTTGAACCTTAGAGGTTGTTTTAAATTTTAAAGGTGCTTCAGAATCTCTGACAGCCTTCCCTGTTTATGGAGCAAGATTCCAAACAGTGGTAAAGATCAGGGCAAGATGTTTAGACAGGAGTTGGTTTACACTGAGGCTATTCTGTGGGAACAAAAACGCAGACATTTTAGGAAGGTTTGGAGAGAAAAAAATGAAAGTTAAAATAACACATACAAACATGAAGTTGGCATATATCCGTGAGCGAGTCTGTCAGTTAATTCAGTAAATATTTATTTCCTTTTGACACATTCACTGTGTTCTTTTGGGGTTTTGTGGAGGGGCTTAGTAATGAGCTGTTTATTATGATCTGCGACAAACCAGTGCAATGCAAAACGCAGCCACCTACTTAAGGCAGAATAAATAAGTTCCCATTGTCACAGCCTCCACCCACCTGAGCTCCAGTCGCAGGCAAGCCTTGCCAATGACACTTGAAAACCACCAATTTACTGCAAGCGCCGTATGGTACTCACATGGAAGACAGATCTACTGACTCGTTAAAGCACACTAATTATTCCAAATTTTCGAAGTGAGAACATATGGGAGCTGTTTTCTTCGGTGATGTTTCTACTTCAAAAACAAAGTGAATACAACTGAACAAGCATTTTCCATAATCTATATCCCTTGGAAATGGTATTCAAACTTCACCAAATTCGCTAATGTTAAAACACTTAATTCCCCTCTGGTCAAAGGCTGTCTGATAGTCAATACCTCTTCTCACACCTTTTTATTTCCACCACCCCTTCTCCCACAGAGCTCTGACTATACCACCAAAGTGAACATGGCTAAACTAAAAGTGCTATATTCTGGCCATTCAGCTAGTTGTTGGGTCAACAAATTGTAAGCAGCTGCTATGATGATTTAAAATTTTGTTTTGTTTTGTTTCCCCTATGGAGCAGATGCCCAGGTGTTATGAGAATGCTACCTCCAAGAATATAGCATCCGTTCACAGTTGTAACCAGCATGACCCCAAACTGAGAAGAGAGAACCTTGAGGGATGAGAGACCAGCTCAGTCAGGAAGACTCTGTGTCTTTATTCCTGTAACAGAACTGAACCTTTGACTTCTTGATAGAAACAGTTCAGCATCTGGGACCCAAAGACAACTCAGCGGAATGCACCATGATTCCTGGAAGCACCCAGTTTCTGAAGAACCCAACACCAGACTGCCTGAAAGCTAACCCAGGTCACAAAGGACTGTAGAGCTGAGATAATTCAGTGATGGTAATATTTATCTAGATTTTAACCATTACATTATTGATGAGAGCTTTATTCTTTTGACTTTCTGTGAACATGACCTTTGTTCTTACTAGCTTTCATTTGCCTGGGAGCAAAAATGAGAACTTACCATATACAGA